TAATGATGAAATTGCTCCTACCAGTTCTCCCAGTTGACACTTCCAATCAACAAGTAAAAATGATTAAGCCAGACCTGGTGGCTTGCACCAGTCATCTCAGTGTTACACCCTGGGAGGTTGCAGCAGGAGAACCACAAACTTAGAGCCCAACCTGGTTAATTTAGCAATTTATAAGATCTTTCTCAAAATAAAAAATAAAAAGGGCTGAACTGTAGCTCAGTTTAAAGGCCCTGGGTTCAATCCCCAGGGGAAGAAAAAAGAAAAAAAGCTGTCCAAAAAAAGCTCTACTCCTGAGCTACATTCCTAACCCAAACTGGAAGTTTTTTTGCCCTTTTGGTACTGAAGATGTGAAACTTTTTTTTCCAGTGTCAGGAAATCAAACCCAATGCAAGCAGTTTTCCACTGAACTAAACTCTAGCCCTCAAATATTTTAATTTTTGTCAATCTGCTAAATGAAAACATCTGTTTCTCTGTGTTTTTAATAAGCATCCCTTTATTTTTGTTTCTTTCTACTTTTTTACTCCCAAGCAAGACTCTCCTATTTTTGGCCAATTTTCACCTGTTTTGTTGAGTCATTTTCTTATTGATTGACTGGAGCTCTTTCCATATTAAGGAATTTCCTTGTGTCACACATTTCTAGCATTTTTTCCTTGTGCGTTGTTTTTCTCTTTGATTATACTTATGGTTTAGTTTTATCTCCAGGCTGGTGATCAGACTCACGACTTTCAAAAGGCACACTCGGCAAGTGTTCCGCTATGTACTACATCCCCACCCTATCTGATATTATACCATTTTCTCTAGCCTCTACAACATGCAAACACTACAGAATTACTATCTTAATAATGTCTAGCCCAGGTTTTTTTGGAGGGGGTTGTACCAGAAATTGAACGCAGAACCTCACACTTGCCAGGCAAGCACTTATGCCACTAAGTTATATCCCAGTTCCCTTTATGTTTTACTTTAAGCTCAAAAAAAAAAGCTTAAATTTTTAATCTAGAATTGAATATATTTAGTATAAGAATAATCTCACATTTCTTTTGGCTAACATCACTTTTATTTTCTATGAAGTCATTTTGCTGTATGGACCATGCCCCCTCCCAACAGATAAAATATTACAGTTGGCAGGCAACTATTTCTCATCTTAACCAGTATTATTTATTTTATACATTAGACAAGCACCAACATGCCCCTACACCCTCCTCACTGTTCAAGTGAGCCTGGGCAACAACAGCACATCTAGAAGGGGATCTTGGATATACCTACTTCCCTCAAGGAGACAAACACAAAGGGGCAGGGAGAAAAAGTATTCCAGGTTGGACTGGTATGAAAGGTAGGACCAGACCAGTATTGGTTCAGGGTCCGACACCCTTTCTGCCACCTTTAGGGCCTGAGTATTTGGGGTGGCACCCCCCTCAGCACCAAGTTGTCAGATGAACCCACAGGCCCTGTGGGAGCAGGAATGGAGGAAACCTCGCCAGCCAAGCACTATGGAGTAGCGACTAGACTCTGGAGTCATTGGGCTCCCCACTCTTTCAGAGCTCGGGCCCTCTCTTTCAGTCTCCACCTTTGTATGAAATGCCTGGGATAGCTAGAGGGTCAGAAAGTAGATTAGGGATTGGCTAGGGCTGGGAGGGTGGAGAAAGGTGGGGGTTGATGAATAAAGGCTACATGTTTCTTTTTTTGTTGTTGTTGTTGTTTTTGTTTTTGTTTTTGTTTTTGGTGGAACTGGGGATTGAACTCAGGCCCTTGCGCTTGCCAGGGAAGCGCTTATTCTACTGAGCCATATCCCCAGCCCCACAGGTTTCATTTGGAAGAGATAATGTTCTACAATTAATTGTGAAGACTGCACAATTCTGTGACTATGAGCAATCACTAAATTGTAAGGTGTGTGACTTATACCTCAATAAAGCAGTTACCAAAAGAAGGGGGAGGAGGAAGTGACATCCCCATTTGAGAAGTCCGGTGTCCACGAAGGTTTTGGGAGACCTAGCCTCTCAAATCCTTCCTGTTATCTTTGGGGGTAGTGAGGGTAGGTTGTCTGGCTTTCTAGAAAGCAGCGACACGCAAGAAAGAAAGAAAACAAACAACAACGAAACTCCAGGCTAAAGTCGCGCCGGTGTTGGAATCCTGACATTCTGACATCATCATGTCCAGCCTGTGTGACCTTGAGCAAATCACCCCATCCCTCTGAGCCTCATGCTCTTCGGCGGAGCAATCAGTGTAAGAGGTTGGGCAAAGACTTTTACAGGAGCATAGGTGGAACCTCGCGGGCGCTGCAGACTGCGGATGAGGCACAGTGTGTGCGGGACGAGTGGGTATCACGCGGTGAGACCCAGGCTGGGACGACCCGGGGCCTGGCAGTTATCCTGAGTCGCGGCGGGCGCGGGCTGTAGCCCTCAGCACCCCCGCCCCAGGCCAGGAAGGAAGCCCAGGCGGCGAAGGGGCCCAGCGGCCGGGCCGGGAGCCGAGGCAAAGGCCGGGAGCCGGGCTCGCAGCCGCCGCTGCTCATCCATCAGCCGGACGAAGAGCAGAGTCGCGCTCTCGGCCCTCTGTTTGCTTTCTCGCCAATTATTGCCGCGCCGCAGCCCCTTTGTTGATACAGTAGTCCGAAAAAGTGCTAATGTTCATTTATCAGGGGGCCCGCCGGGGACTCCCATGAGTTGCGATTCTTCCCAAAATATAAACACGGGGCAAGCGTCCCAGACAGGCGCGGGCCGAGAGCGAGGCGTTGTTGAAGATAAAGCTGCGGATAAAGCCGCCTGTCTCCAATGGACGTCTCCTCGGCGCATTAATGACATTCCCGGTGATAGTTCCAGCTTATCTTTCAATTAATCATATATACCTTTTGCGGCCGGCCCTGGTGATTGCAGGAAGGGAGTGGATGCCGGGCTGCTCCGATCGCTTTGCAATTAATAATAATTTATTTGCGCAGAATGCGCTCGAGCCACCCTCAAATTCTACTAATCTTGAAAGCACCAAGTCTTTAAAAGGTTCAGGGATCGATGCAGATTTTTGGTCTCTCCTCCCCCCCCCCCCATCTCTTCCTGACTTTCGCTTGCCTGAAAGCTGTTTGTTTGTCCTGCTAGTTCGGTCAAAACGTGGCTTAGAGGAGCGACCAGGTTGGGCCGCTGGCCCTTAAGAAGATGGAAATTAAGTCCCTGTTGAGGCCAGAGAATCAAGTACCACCCCACTCCCAGCCACTGCAACATCTTTTTTTTTTTTTTTTTTTTTCTTTTTCTTTTGTACTTGCTAGCAAACAGCCCTGATAGAAAAAGCAAAATTAGAACTTGTTCTTGGACATTTCTTTATAGGGACCAGCATGGGTTCCTCAAATTTCAATTTTGCATAATATTTGTTGGGTTTTGCCCTGTTTCTTTTCTCCTGAAGCACTACGGCCTTCTCTGAAGCCAAGAGAAATTATTGCCAGATTTTCAGAGGGTGTAACAGTGGAAAAGTCACTGATTTTGTCTAAATAGGAAGGTTTTTTTCCCCCTTCCTTTTTCATGACACTGACCCATCGATCTGTAGGCTATGAGAAGCCCTTGATGCAAAAGTAGGTGATAAATCTTCACTGCTTTGATTTGAAAAGGAAATGCTAATTTTTTTCTCCAGTACTATCTTTTTTTTTTTTCTAAGTTAAAGCAGGGATCCGGATGCAGCCTCGATGTCCCCCATTAAATGGCAATATTTCAGGCGTCAACTCGCACTAATCTTTCAAACTGTCATCGCTAGCTGCCTGGCCGGCCCATTCACTTAACAGCACTCCCAGGACCCTCGTTCCTAACTCTTTTCAGCAGGACATTTAATTGATTCGGATGTGGCTCATTTGCCAGATGTCGTCACCACCTCTCCAGTGGACATCCTCTTCCATCACCCCCCAAAAAATCTTCCACGACAGTGTGGTTCCTGTGCTAGGTTAGCTTAGATCAGTAACTAGCCACCAGGTGTAAATCTGTCCAGGGACAATTCCAGGCTAAGGAATAGAGCGGTGGGAAGACTGTGCAGTTTCCTTGGGAACATTTGAGAAAGGGCAGGATCCCCAGACCAAGCTGACAAACTCAGACCAGGAATCATTGAAGGGAGATCTTTCTGGGGTGGCCTCAGCCTGGTACTGCCTGCTGGCACCTGGCTTCACCAAGGAGCTGCATGCCTCAGTGACTGCCCTGCCAGGCTTGACTCTATTTCCCCCTAGCTCAGAGATCACAGGCTTTGAGAGTTTGGGTTTGAGGAGAGGAAGGAAAGGACCTGAAGCTGGGCCGGTGCTTGACTTCACCCACACCCTGGCCCATGATGCTCCTGAAGGACCATTATGTCTGTTTTGTCTCTGTACTGTATTTCAGGTGTTCACTCTGTGCTCTGGCCTGTCCATGAGTGAAGTATCTTTGGCTAGCCTTTGAATGGGCACCACCATCCTGCTACAAGTGCCTCTTCCAGGGTCTTCCACTCCCCATTCTCAAGTGGGTCTCAGTGAGTATCTCACCCAGGAGCTCCCTGAGCAAGTTTTAATGAAGTCCTGGGAAATCAACCACCAGTGAGCCTTACTGTCTCCCGTGAGAGGAAGACAATGTTTTTAACCTAGAAGCCCAGTGCCTCCTCGGCCTCCCTGAAGTTATATGCTAAATACAACTGGTATTCTAGAAGAAAAAGAGATCGAAGCTTTCCCCAGATCTAAGCCTCCTCAGGGCAAGCATTGCTGAGCAGAATCCAGCCATTTAACTTGCACTCCTAATGTGTGGCAGATTTGTCCAACAGAAGTGTCCTACTTTACTGACCCTGGGCTAAAAGTGACCACCTGCCCTGCCCTGCCCTGCCCTGCCACCTTGTACCTGGTCCCCTAGCAGGGGCCACTGAGATCTGGGTCCAGAGGCCTTGGAGAGAACCTGGCCCACGAAGCTCAGAGGATCTCTACCTGGCTGGGAGCTAAGCCTGGGCTGGGTCCCAAGGCCTTAGAGACACAGAGGCTGAGGGTCTAGCTGCAGGAGCGTGGAGAAAGTAGAAGAGTAGGGACAGTGGGCTCCAAAACGAGAAGGAAAGCTGCAGGGAGCTGGAAACAGCTCTCTTGGGGCAGGTGATTGCCACTTGGAGTCTAGATTGGGCATTATTAGGAGGAAAGTCACTTCCCCAGGAGGGCATTGGCAATGAAGCCCCCCATCCCCCAGCAATGCTCTACTCTTTGCTGTACGGTAGGTGGTCACTCCCACCCTACACCACCCACTTCTCTTTTTATTTCAGTTTGACCAAGCCAAGGGCTTCCCTTGGGTTAGGATCCTGGGGAAGTAGGGATCCTGGGGCATGAGGTCCCATAGGTCAAAACAAAGGAAATGTCCAAATTTCTAGAATCTCCCTGTCCTGCCATAACTCCCAGAACCATCTTCTCCTTCATACAGACTTTTCCTGGTCAGAAAAGTCCGTTAAAAGGTCTTAGTGATCCGGGAAATAAGCCCCCTTCTCCAGGTTCCCGTCCATCCTTCACTCTTCCACTCAGTTGTGGACGGGAAGGAACCTTTCGTCAAATCCCAGACCCACCCGGCCCAACCCAGAGGCCGGGCTAGGGGCAGCCTGAGGTCTTTCCCAGCTAAGGGTCTTGCCAGAGCCATCTCAGGTTGGAGGAGCAGAAGGGGAAGCTTCGAAATGAGCCGCGGCCCCTTTAAAACCGCTGAGCAGGATTTTTTTTTCCCCCTAGCTGTATGACTATATTAGGTGACACGAAACTGCTTGTCGTTCCTGTCAACGAGCCCCCTGGCCCAATGGCAGGCTGAATCCCCCTCCTCCTACCAGGTCCCGCCTCTCTTGCCCCTTGTGCTCATCCTACCTGCTGCCCCTCCACACCCAGAGCAGGAAGGCGGGTGCGCGGGCCGGCGGCGGCACCATGCGGGGAGGCTGCCGTGGGCCGTGGGCAACGCCTCTCTCTGCGGCCCACCTGGCGCTGTGACACTGGGGCTGCCACCATGTTCCCAAGCCCTGCGCTCACGCCCACGCCGTTCTCAGTCAAAGACATTCTGAACCTGGAGCAGCAGCAGCGAAGCCTGGCCGCAGGGGAGCTCTCCGCGCGCCTAGAGGCCACTCTGGCGCCCGCCTCCTGCATGCTGGCCGCCTTCAAGCCGGAGGCCTACTCCGCGCCCGAGCCGGCAGCGCCGGGCCTCCCGGAGCTGCGCGCCGAGCTGGGCCCGGCGCCTTCACCCTCCAAGTGTGCTCCTGCCTTCCCTGCCGCCCCTGCCTTCTATCCTCGTGCCTACGGCGACCCAGACCAGGCTAAAGACCCTAGAACGGAGAAGGAAGGTAAGGAGGAAACTTCTGCCCCATTTCCCTCTCTGGGCACTTTCATACCCAAACCCGGGCTGTGAACAGACCAGGCCCAGGAGGAGGAGGGGGCTCCCGGCCAAGAGCTTGGCACGGAGAGCTGTGGCCCCGCGTCCAGTGGAAGTTTAGAGGAAATGTAAGATTGAGAATATCAGAAACAAACAAACAAACAAAAAAGGTTTTTCCAGGCCTAACAAAGCTGCAGGCCGCTGAGGCCCTCTGATGCGTTATAAATTTTAATTAATTTGTTGTAGACAGAGCAGAAATAGAAGATATGTATATAACAAACGTTTTAAAATCTCATTTGGATTTAGGAGACTTTTAGGATCTAGGGAGAACAGCCAAACAGAAATTAAACACACTGGTGCTCACAGTTGAACAAAGGTCGCGGACATTAGGTAGCCCACGGGGACCGGATTTCTGGGCCCTTTCCTCCTTGTGTCAGTACGTGGACTCTTCGGGAGCAAGGCCTTTGGTTTTAAAATGAGATATACCAGACCCTCGGCAGTATAATGTAGCTTTATATTCCCAGGACAACTTCTGGGGCAGGACTAGGGCCAAGAGTTTCTCGCGAAATGTTAGAAAAGGTAGGGGCTGAAGGTGCCAGGACGGACTGGAGAGCTGAGAAAGGTGGTGGCTTCCCTGCCCCGCAGCCCCGGGGTGGGAGGGAGCCTGGCCTGGACTCAGAAAGGGGTGCTCTGGGGAGACCTGGGCCCCAACGCCGCGTCAGCGCAAAGCCGAGGCTGGGGTCCTTGCACAGTGGCCGCCCGGGAAAAGACTGGTAGGTTTGTCTAACAGCAGAGAAAACGCCCGGGAACATCTTTGGGAGACTGGAACCGATTGCCACCAACTAGAATCCTGCTGGAGTAAACAGACAGGCCAGGATTGGAGGCCCCTGCCAACCCTAGCTGCTCCGGCATAGCGCCAACACGGGGCATCCACGTGTGAGCTTTACAGTACCAAAGGATCTCTTGGCCTTCTGTTTCTTTGATTCCTTAGCTTTGAGGCAAAGTGACCGCCGCCCCACGCTGAGGCTTCCATATTCCTTCAATTAATTTTTCAAGTGTAATTCACCCCCCGAGCATCATCTGATTTTCCATTCTTTGCGATTTGAAATCTTAATTCAGTCTGACTACCAAGACGCGAACTGCCCAGGCAAAGCTTTTTCCGGTATTGTTTTCTAGCGTCTAGGGCCATCTTTGCTACTTGGGCTTTTAAATTTGCTGCACTAATTGTCGAGAGAAAAGCGGCAATGACCATCGGTGGAGCCCACTGCCCTCGGCGAGTGAGCCGAAACCAAACTGGGCTCTCAAGCCAGGAGAGGGAGGCACCCCGTGGGCTCATGGCACGGCGGGCTGCTCGGGACCGGCGTTCTAACCAAGCGTCTCTCTCTCTGTCACCCTTCAGAGCTGTGCGCGCTGCAGAAGGCGGTGGAGCTGGAGAAGCCCGAGGGGGACAACGCCGAGAGGCCCCGAGCGCGCCGGCGGAGGAAGCCTCGCGTGCTCTTCTCGCAGGCGCAGGTCTATGAGCTCGAGCGGCGCTTCAAGCAACAGCGGTACCTGTCCGCTCCCGAGCGCGACCAGCTGGCCAGCGTGCTGAAGCTGACGTCCACGCAGGTCAAGATCTGGTTCCAGAACCGGCGCTACAAGTGCAAGCGGCAGCGGCAGGACCAGACTCTGGAGCTGGTGGGGCTGCCCCAGCCGCCACCGCCGCCCGCGCGCAGGATCGCCGTGCCAGTGCTCGTGCGCGACGGCAAGCCGTGCCTGGGAGACTCGGCGCCTTACGCCCCTGCCTACGGCGTGGGTCTTAACGCCTACGGCTACAATGCCTATCCCGCCTACCCCGGCTACGGCGGCGCGGCTTGCAGCCCGGGCTACAGCTGCGCCGCCGCCTACCCGCCTGGGCCTCCCGCGGCGCAGCCCGCCACGGCTGCCGCCAGCAACAACTTCGTGAACTTCGGCGGCGTCGGGGACTTGAACGCTGTGCAGAGCCCCGGGATTCCGCAGGGTAACTCGGGAGTGTCCACACTGCACGGCATCCGAGCCTGGTAGGGAAGGGAATCGCCTGGGGCGCCCCGACCCCTCCCGCACTGTCTCTGGAGGCAGGAAAGGCTCCCGCCGCAATCCTGCGTCCCTCGAATTTCACGGTCACTGCTGCTGACGCCTCGGAACGTTTCCCACCGCCGTAAGCCTCTGTCCCCGAGCGAGCGCTCGCACCCAGGCTGCGGTGAGTGATCCTGCAGCCGCCGCCTCGGTAGCCGCCTTCGGGTTCTCTCCTGGCGTGCCTGGCCAGCACCTCCTACGGACCGGACCGAACTGGAGACCGGGAGCCGGACTCGGAGGCCTAAGGTCCCTTCCCGAGCCTGGGCCGGGCGCCCGGGTCCTTGCTCTCTTGCCGCTGCCCACCCACCCGTATTTATGTTTTTACCTGTTGCTGTAAGAAATGAAAACCCTTTCCCATTAAAGTGAGTGCGCTGACCATACACACGTGCTTCTTTCCGCTTTGCCTAGGACAAAGGCTGTTGTTCCTCATTTTAGGTGCTTTCACTGGACAAATTGATATTTTTTTTTTCAAACTGATAATATTGATGACAAGAACTAACCCATTCTCGGTCCCTTGTCCTAGTTTTGAGTTTAGCAGCTGAGACCTGGTGAGATTTAATGACTTGCCACCAGCAGATGGCTAGTACTAGTAAAACTCAGGTTTGCTTCTCTCTCCTTCCAGAGAGGGAGGACACCTTTGGCCTCAGGTCCTGGACCCTAATATGCACCCCATACTGCTTGCTGCAGGGCCTGGGCACTAAATGCAGAGCCAAGGAACCTGGGCCCCGTGCTACTGGAACAGCACTAACTTGTCCTACTTAAAAGAATGCCTCAGTCTGTCTTACAGATGGAAAAGCCAAGAACTAGTCCTGGTTGAACATCCCTGACTCTGCTGCTAAGGGAAGGAATCCTCCTAATAGAAGCACACTGGGCCTGTCAGGGCCAACAGCTGTCCAGCTAGGCTGGGTTCAGAGCCCAACCCATAGGGGTATCCTGCAGACAACACTCAGCTCCTAACCTAGACCACAGCAGTTCACCTGGAGAGGGAAGAACCAGTGCTAGACACTTAATTTCACCATAGCTAACCCAGATTCCACTCCATGAATGTTACTCTTATACAGTACCAGTTTTACAGGTAGCAAAACAGGCTTGACAACGTCAAGCTAAAATCTAGTTGTGGAGCTTTTGATTGCACACCTCTGTGTTTGTTTGTTTCTGGTACCAGGAATTGAATCTACACTAGGCAAGTGCTCTACCAGAGTAGAATGTTGGGATACCCACCTCTTGTCTCTATATCCCACTATTGGGATGGAAACCTTGGCCATTGCATTGGGCTACATCCCCAGTCTTTCTTCCCAGGGCCCTTTTATTGTAAGAAAGGGCTTCACTAAGTCCATCCTCCTTCCTGAGTATCCTAGACTGCAGAAATTACAGGTCTGCAATGAAGATAGCAAGAGCATCTCACTATGAGCCCTGGTTTCACCAGTCCCTATGCTCAGCCCTGACCTCTTCTATCCCTGCTGCCCAGGAAGAGAGGAGATAGGGAATAATGCAATATTCTTTGGAAAGGGATGAGACCAAGTGGGAGGAATCATAGTGCTGGGCTGGCTTTGGGACCCTTGGAATATTGCCCTAGTGCTCACAAACAAAGCAAAATATCATAGTGGAGTCCAGGGACCCAGTGCTGCTCCATGCAGCCCTGACACCCAAGAGGAATTGCTAAGCCAAGCCTGGCACAGGAGCTGACCTGCTGCAACACTGGAAACCCAGCAGCCTCAAGATGTCTCTGAGTCAGGCGCCTCCACAGGTAACTGCTGCACTGCCCTGTCCAACCCCAACCCCTTTGGGAGAAGGGGAGTCCTCAGTAAGTGGTGCTTTTGATTAGGGGCCTCACTGATGCCTGGTGGGATAAAGGATTGTGGGTTGGGCTGTGGAGGGAGGTGGAAAGGGCTGAACTCAAAGTCTGGCCAGGAGCCCCTGAGTGGGAATTTCCTCTGCCACAAGATCCAAGGGGATATATAAGCCTGCTGTGTGCCAAAGCCACGCTCACCTCCCTCCAGCCACTGTGACCATCATCACAATGGCTCCATCTCATGGAGGGGGCACACTGAGGAGCTCTTAGGCTGCATCCCTGCAAACAGCCTAACCCACACAACCCGGGAAGCCTCCTGCCAGAAGTTACCCATATTCCCACTTTCAGGGAAATCAGTGAATTTGCAGAAGGTCCCCTGGGTTCTGCATATAGGCCAGTTTCTTTCATCTTACTTTTGTCTGCAAAAACATTAGTAACAAAATTTCTTTCATTTAGGGTAAAAACTTACCAGCACTCCTTGTATTGGTTCTGAGGATTCAACCCAGGACCTTGTACAAGGTAAGCAAGCTAGGCGTCGCTCTACTACTGAGAGACCTTAGGAGCCCTTGAAGTGCCTCTCTCTGTCACCCAGGGCCTCCATGTGCCTTTGTCACCCACTCATAAAAGGAAAGCAACAGCTGTCTGCCTTCTGCAAAGGGGTTTCCAGAGGCTGGGACTCCAGGACAAAGTGCTTTGCAGAAGTTCTCTAACCTAATCTACCTTCATTTGTAGCCCCGGGAGCGAAGAAGTTATCAATGGTCAAGGTCACCGGAAGGGCGGCAAGGAGCACTGAATTTATGAAGCTGCCCGCCCTTTGAGGTGACTCTCCAGTGCCCCAGAGTGGAACAACCCCATTGTCAGTGGAGTGAGACTATGCAGCTGGTGGAGCTTGGGCAAGTGACACCCCACAGCAGGCAAGCCTGCGTCCTCTCACGCTCCAGGCCTTGGCTGCTTCCATGGCCAAGGTCTTTAGATCTGCAAAAGTGGACTCCCAGGGAGAGTGGGGGTAGGGAGAGAGAAGTACCCTAAACCAACAACAACCCTGCTTACATAGACCCCTCCCATTAAATCGATATTGTGTTGTTTTCCACTTTATAATATAAATGCCGCCACCAGGTAGGAAAATTAACCAGTACAGAAACCCAGGAAGCAGAAAAGACCTCCACCTCCGTGGTGGTAAAAGCGCTTGGATATTGGGGTGGCGCAGGCTTGGCCTCCACATGCCGGGTTGCCAGAAAGGACACAGGGAACTACAGAACTACTGGTTCTGCTTTCTTTTTAGTCAAACAAGCTCATGTGCAGGTTAAAAATAATTCTAGATAAATAGTGGTCTGTATTTTTTAAAGGCTCTGAGTCTGGGTTGGAGTGGTTCCCTCAGCACAGCACCGCTGTCGCGCTCAGCCAGGAGTGAGCTGTGGCTGCTGCCTGGTGCAGCCCTTAGCCTGCTGCTGTCCCAGCCGGGCCTCCGCTCTCCTCCTGGTCGCACCAGATTCATTTCCTCAGATCATTCCTAATCTGCAGGCATAGGCTCTGGCCAGATCAGAATCGGTTTCTACGTCAAGTATCTGTATACTTGCTTAGGAACTGGTTGCTCAGCACCCCAGGGGGTGCCAGAGTCCCCTGAATATTGGCGGTGAAGATCTTAGACATTCATCCTGTGCTCAGCTTGCTGCACAGGGTCACTCCAGGCCCTTCATTTCCTCCTGGAAACATTCTGGGGCTGAGGCCTGTGCAGGGGAGGGGGAGAAGGGGCTCCATCCTGTGCTCACTCCTTTAGGAAAGGAGGTCCCAGAAAAAAGGCCTATGACCTAGAGAGAGGGTACTTGGAACTGAAGCCAGAGGCTGCTATACTGCTGGGCTACATGTGTCCTTTGCCTTTATTTTTTATTTTATTTTTTTTTTATTTTAAGATAGGACTTAGGTAAATTGCCCACATCAGCCTCAAATTTGTGATCCTCCTTCCTCACTTTGTCAAATGGCTGGAATTACAGACACGAGCCCCTTGAGCCTGGCTAGATTTTACTTCTTCATCACTCAAACAACCCCAAGCACTGTCCTGAGCTGTTTACAAGTGAGCCCATTTAATTCTCTCTTTTTTTTTTAACATTTATTTACTTATTTATTTAGTGTGTGTGTGTGTGTGTGTGTGTGTGTGTGTGTGTGTGTGTGTGGCCAGCTCAGCCCACCAGGGGGCGAGGCTGGCTGGCATGTGGTGCTGGGGGATCGAACTGTGGTCCCTGTGCTTTGCCAAGCTTGTTCCAAGTAGATGCTTTAGACCACTGAGCCATCTCGCCAGCCCATTTAATTCTCTTTAATTCTGAAATCAGCAAAGGAGACAGATGTTGAAGTCATCTTAAGCCCAGAGAGGAGGAGAAATGTGCCTGAGGCCACACAGCTGGGCAGTGCCAGAGCTTAGTTTCAAATCCAGGCAAACCAGCTCCAGTGCCTGAGAACACAATGCCAACTCACACTGGCTTGGGGTTAGCAAAGTGCGTGCCACACACCAGGAGATGTTTGCTAATTGATCAAATAGTAAGTAACATTACTCCGGCTTCTTGGAGCATTTCTATGTGCTGGCTCCATACAAACTCATAAGATAGGAACAAATTTCCTTGAGCAGGAGCAGAATCTCAGCGGGGAAGCCCAGCAGCTGGGATCCCTGCGTGGCAGACTGTCGTTTTTTGCCCACTCTGCTGTTTCTCAGAGGGCAGTTTGCTCCAGGCCATGGTAAGCAGTGAGAAGATCTGACAGACAGGTCACCTAAAGCCACCACAAACCCCCCACCTGCTCCAACTCACAGCTGCATGAGATAACAGTGTGAATCACCGCCTGACATCTGTCAGGGCTTACTTTGTGCCAGGCAGGACTAAATGCCAGCCCTGCAACTCTCCTTCTGTTGTTCTCCAAGGAGGACATTGAAACTCAGATGAATTGAAGTCCTCACCCAACTAAGGCCACTCCAGTAACCCAGAGTACGGGTCGCTACTTGAATCCAGATCTGTAGTTCCCAAACTTCCCTGAAGACACCAACTGCCTGGGGACTAAACAAGCCCAAGCCCCTGTCTTCCCAGCTCCCTTCAATCAGACTCCTCAGGCCCAGAGCCCCTACCACTGCATTGGTGGTCAGGCAGTCTTCTTCAGTCAGCAAGCTGGAGAACTGAAATTTTCCAAGGCCCTGTACACATTGGGCTCTAGTGCTTGGGTGTCTGGGAGAAATTTGGAGTTGGATTTGCATGTCCTACTCTTCTATCTCAGGGATTCTGTGCTTCTTTGCTGTAGCCCTAAGAACTGGGGCAAGATAGGCAAAGGGATAAAAATTAGAAAGGGCCCAGCTGGAGAGGGACACAGAGAGCCAGGTATCTCCAACTATAAGTAAAAGCAATGCCTGGGCCCGTGCAGCCCAATTCCCACCAGTGCTGCCTCAGAGAAGAGATGGATGTGGATGTGGATACTATTCAGAGACAGTTGCGTTTTTGTTTTTTTTTTCCTTGATACTAAACTCCACTATGGAGTCCTACAGGATAGGAAGTGGGGGTGAGGCCAGCCTCCAGGGCAGCTCACTCACAATAGGCAACACTCTGTATGATC